GTGTTACATCTTCGACGCCACACGGGTCCTACCGGACCCGACTTAGGGCTAGAGGGACACATCAGGGCCTAAAGGCCCGACCTTGGGGGTACTACAGGCCATAAAGGCCTCATCTTGGACCAGACCCGACGGGCAGGCCCAAACGACATTACCGTTTGGGCCTGGCGGCGCTCTTGTGGCTGCCGCCCGCCGGTTGGGGCTGAACCGTCCATCTGGACGGTTCAGGGCACGGTCAGGCCTCGCAGCATAGAGGCCGACCTCTGCCCACCGGTACAAAGGTACCGGTCCAGCCTCAGTAGGGCATCGACCTACCGGCATTCTACCGGTACGGTATGGTACAACGCGATACAGCGCTGGCGCTAAGATTAGCGCAGGAGCAGCGAGGAACAGCGCAGCGCAGATTTGCGCAGCAGCAGCGAGCGGAGCAGCAGCAGCGGCGACTGGGTTACCGGCGGCCATAGCCGCCTGAGGTATTGGGAGTTGGAGGCTTCTCTCCTCCCTCCCATCGCCAGTCCCCTCTCTCTCTTTCTCCTCCTCGGCTCCTTCTTCTTCTTCTTCTTCTTCTTCTTCTTCTTCTTCTCCTCTTCAGACAAACCAGTTTCCAAACCCACCTATAAGAGCAGGCATTACCATAAAGAGTAGGATAAGATAAGAATGAAAGATAAGATAAGAAGTAAGCACTGCATGAATAATGTGAGGTCACTTTGATGACGCTGGATGTCACAAAATTCGAAATGCTTTGTTTTTTCTCTCCTCCGAACCGTACGTGCAACTTTCATTGCATACGGCTCTCCAAGTAAATCTTACAAGGCCGTATTCCCCAATTAAGATTTAGAACTTCGCGTTGTAACCTATCAGATTCTATCTCGGCGACCTTCGGTGCTGTCTACCTCCCCCACCTCCTTCGTCTCTCCTCCCACCTCTCATTTGTGTATGCGTGTACGAGATCTGGGCATCGTCTATGCTTTGCCCAGACCCCACCATCTCACGATTGTATGTGTGTGGAGTGATTCTGGAGTCAGTCTGTGTGAGTCAGTCTATGTGAGTCAGTCCGGTTATCAGACTTCTGCTGCATATATGCTCATCCTACATTGGTTGATCTTTGGTTCTGCCCATACTCATTGAAGTATGTAACACCCAGCCACGTCGCTCCCTGCGCTCTCACTGGCCGAGAGCCTCTGGCCACCTCAATGCTGGAGTGAGCCACTCTACATGTCGTGGTCCCACAGGCGAGGTGCTGTAACGAACTGGAGCTTGGTAACTGTTTGGTGCCCAACTTTGCAGAATTAACAAAAATGGGGGCCC